GGGATCATGCCCAGAAAGGGCCGAGGCCCCTGTCTGTGATTCAGTGACTTACCAGGAGCTGCCCCAAATAGGGTGTGGCCATGACAGCCTGACTGGGAAGGTGCTTATAAAGTAGGCTGTGTTCAAAAAAAATTACCCCCACTAATCCACTGTCTCTAAAACACTATTTACTCCTGGCCTCAGAAAGTTGGGGGTGAGGAATCACCAGATAAGCCACGTAAAGTGCTAACTCGGGCATGGAATGTCAGCACCCCGGCCTCCACACCAGTACTGCTGATGCCCACGGAGCGGGCGGGTCCTCCATGCAGTGGGGAACACATGGCTGAGTCCTAGAACATCTGGTTCCAATTATTTAAAATGCCATTACTACATCATGAACACAGGTGCATGCAGGCACCACAAGATGTCACACAACTGAGAGGACATTTGGAAATGAATGACCCCCCCCTCCCCGCCTGTCTGGAGTACCTCCCCCTGAGCAGGCCCCTTCTGCAGGCCCCTTAGCCTCGCCTTCTCACTCAGGTTGCCCTTCTGCAGCGTCAGGCTGCCTACTCCCTGGAGTGGCTGTCCCTCCTGCCCCATCTCCCCAAACCCCCTGGCAGGAAGAGCCTGTGTGCTGGCCTCAGTCGGACCTCCATCAGCTGGGCTGAGACGACACCAGGAAAGGCTAGAATAAGTACATGTTCCCCCCACACCCAGCAATTCCTCCTAAGACCCCCTCCCACCCCCAAAATGAAAAGGGCAGCTCTGAACACCTCACAGAGCAGGCTGGGCCAAACTGCTGCTCCTGATCTGGTGCGGTTTCTAGAGCCACTTGGACAAGCAGAGGCGAGGGCAGGCTGCCTTCGTCTTCTGCACCAAGACCAGACCAGGAGGGTAACTAAGAAGGAAAGCGAGGGATGTACCAAAGACAAACCATTTCTACAAGCCCAGGGATTTGTATGAGAACCTAAAAAGGAAAGAAGGAGACCGTCACAGGCAGCTCAGACCCCAGGGTGGTGAGAAGGGGCCGCTGTCACCAGAGCTGCCCACCAGGCCCTGCTGGGAAGCTCTACCCAGCACCTACCAAAAAACACCCTCTCTGTACTGCAGCACTGCAGAGCTTGCCTGGGCTCTAGGCAGCATAATGACACCTCTGTCCCCTCTGAGGCTGCTAGCCAGGGCAGAAAGGGCTGGGCTCCACTGAACGCAGGGTCTGGGGCTTCACCTTGGGCAAAAAACAGAGACCATTAAATGGGAGCGAGACGCCCCACTCAGGAGGATGAAATGACAAGAACATGGCATATTTTTCCCTCTCTAACCTACCCAGGTGACCCAACGGGTAGGGCAGGCAGGACGTCCATACCTAGACAGCCCCACAGACAAAGGGAGAGGGCCCACCAGCCACCTGGTCCCTGGGAAACACCGTCCTTTACCCTGCAGCCTGGGAAAGGCCTGCTGGGTCACTGATCACTTTTCCCAGTGTTGTCTGCTCTGGTCCCAGCACACAGGTGCCCTCCAGAGGGGACAGTCCCAGAGGCCCCTAAGAGGTGACCTGTCCTACAAGGGCACAGTAAGGTCTCTCTCACCAGGCAGGTAATCAGAAACAAAAATCAATACTAGAAATCTATCCCAGGGCATGAGGATCCCCAAAGACCAAAGACCCTCCCTGAAATCCCCCCAGGTCTTTCTACTCCCCAGGTCCCTCCTCTCTGCCGCCTGGCACTAAAGACCACAGACGAAAATTTCCAACTCCCTACCTCTGCTCAGCTCGACCCCTCCCACCACCCCACACTCATCTGCCCCATTCTGGGCGCCAGACCAGGTAACTGCATCTCCCAGCATCTTCTTTGCCTTCAGAGCTGCATCGGCTCTGCCCATGCCAGACTGGAATCCTCTCCCTCCACTTCCTGAGCTGGCAACACCTGGACACCTGGCACCTTTGGCAGGTGTAATCTCAGAACCATCTCGCCTAGGACTTAATAGCTGGAGAAGGCAGCAAAAGCACTACAGCAAGCTGGAAGGATGGAGGCGGGAGGCGGGGACCCAGCAGCCAGTAAGACAGACGCTGCCCTGTCCACTCAGGGTCCCTTGGCACAGTTTAAGAGTGGACAATAGAGTGACACTGGGAGAGGCTGTTCTGATGGGATGAGAGGGGGCGCTGAGCCAAGACCAGAAGGATGGGAGGTGACAGACCTCAAGGGAGGCCAGACCAGGGAAACGGAGCAGGGAGAGAGGGCCTGAGCACCCAAAGGGGCGTTGCTTGGTCCCACGCGCATGTCAACCACTGCTCTGGGCAGCTGGGGCACAGAACAGGAGCCAGTAAGGAGTAGCAGGAGACCCCAGATGGGAGCTGCTGGCCTCTGCCATTCCTCCTCACTCGTGTCCCCATTAGCTCCCCACTGCAGCTGAGGGAGGAAAGTGGGGGGGGGGGTCCAAACAGAGAGATCAGTCTTAAGGATGCTGAGCCGGGCAGAGTAGAGTGATGGGGAGGGAAGAGGGGCCCCCAGCGCTAGGCAGGGCCGGTAGAAGCCAGGTCCCCTGCACAGCCACTTCCGGGGAGTCTGCACTAGGGTAGGGGATGGGCAGGCTGACCCCAAGTACCTCAGCCTGGGCTGAGGGAAAGATCTGGCAGAGGCCAGTGCCTCTGCTGACCTTCTGACCTGAGCCTGGGGTGACAGGGCTCAGGGAGGAGGGCCGAGCAGAGGCCCCTGCACTCTCCAGAAGGGGCCTCTCCTTGGCACACCTGCTCCCTGCCCTGACGGCGGGGATTTGTACACCCCAAAAGACGATGACCAGGGTTTGGACAGGCGTGGAGGTGTGGCCGAGTGCATCCTCTCCCCAGCGTGACAGCGATGAGCAGAGGACACCCCTTCACGTGGCCCTTCATCTGACACTCCACTCAGTCCCTCACAACCTCCAGGGAAGGGGCAACTGCTCCCTCCTCACAGAGGGAGAAACGGAGGCTCAGGCCATGCCTGAGCCCCACGACGAGGGAAGGAGGACTCAACCCAGACCGGCCAGGTCCCCACACAGGTGCCTTTAGGCACCACCAAGCCAAACTTCAGATCTTGACAACCTCGAGCTGCGACGGCCGTGCCTGAGTGTGTGCCATGTGGCACGCTGGAGCAAAGGAGAGCCATGCGTGAGCCCAGGGGTCGTGCAGCCCCTGCCTCACACAGGAGGACCTCAAGCGCGGACACTGGCTGAGATTCCAAAAGAGGCAGGAGCCTCCTGCAGTGAGCATTCTGTAGTCTCGGAGACCACGGAGCCAGAGCAACCTCCAGGCTCGGGAAGCAGCAGAGTCTCCCGAGGGGTGACCCAGGAAAGTGCTGCCTCCACCACTCGGCTGCTCAACAGGCCAAACCTGAGGAGACCCAGCCACGTGCCACACCTGTGAGTGACAGAACACGTCTTCCTGAGCTCGAAAATAAATAAAACCAGGTCAGGTGCAAGAAACAACTTTTTTTAAAGTTTCTAGAAGGGTAGTCTGTGTAGGAGACGCAGTGAGGCCAGCCTCAGCGACAGGAGGAGCACAGTGGACTCTCACCGTGGCCGGAATACCGAGTCTTCTAAGCGAGCAAACATCACTCCAGCAACACGAAACCCCTAGAAGGAAAAACTCAAGTCTCCTGCCTTCCTACTCAACAACCTCAGGTCAACAAAACCATTTTATCTCAGGCCTGAAATTAGATTTCGGGAGCAGCTTACAATCTGCACCATCACAGAAGGAGAACCTGGCAGGACTCCAGGCCAGCTGCCTCAGCGGAAGGAGGACCAGAAGGTCTATTTAGGAAAGGAAGACGGAAGTGTCTCGCTGGCACTGACAGTCGCGTGCATCGGCAGTGAGACTGCACAGTACAGTCCAAACGCTTTCTGGACTTCTAGGCTAGGAACACAGAATCAACCAGGATGAGAGGTCAGGTGAACTTGGGGGCCCTCGGCTGGTCCAGCCTCCCATCACCACCACGCTGCCCCGGGGGCTGGGTTAAGGAGAACATCACATGAAACTCACAGCCTTATGCAGGGACGATAAGCCAAAAGGTTCTAACCCGCTCCAAGGTCCAGGGTCCCCTCCTCCACACCACTCCAAGCCATTCAAACCCAACCCATAGCTGGGGGGGAAGGGCTGGGCACTGCTTGAAACCTGAGGCAGCACCTGGAGGTGTCCTGTCCTTTCCTTATAGGAGATCGGAGCAGTGCACCTGCCAGGCTTCCACATCAGTCAACCGGTTCCAGCAGAGACAGGGAACCAAAGGCTTAAGAACAGGAATGATACACTGGGGTTTTCAGCAGCTGCTGGGACTCAAAAGCAAAACTTCTGTCTCAGGACCCAGAACTACGATCAGAGGATTTGCTTCCACTTCAGGATCTGCCACTTAAGAGCTGTGTGACCTAAGTAAGACACTTAATCTCTCTGGCTTGGCCACACGGGGCTGTGCTGAAACAACGTACAGAACAGCACAAACCGGCTCTGCCACGCACGTGACCTCCGGCTCCTTCCTGCCTCTCAGTTTTTGAACGCTGGAAAATAAAGTATTGCAACACTCTTTAAAACAAAACAAAACAAACAACAACCCTGACGCAAGGAAGAAGGCAAGGCCAAGAGACCTCCGAGGACCTCCAGAGTGAGGGAAACCACCCTCTAACCAGCTGTGTGGTCAGTTTTCTCATCTGAGAAATGGGAATGACCTTGTTCTTGCCTTTTTCGTCCCCACCAGGGACGGCTGACAGGCCAGACCCAGACAAAGGGAGCACCCCACCCCCCAAACCAAGGGAACCATCAGAGCCAGGGAACCTTTCCCAAAACTGTATTGATGATCTCAAATAATATTCAACAAGGTGATAACAAGTCAATAATAATAAAAGTAATAATAATAAGCTCATTTAAGTAAAACATGATTACTAGCCACACTCATGTTTCCACATCTGCCATGTACGTGGTGGGTATCTCCGTAAGGACCCCAGTGCACGTTCAGCATTTGATTGAACCCCTTAGATGGTGCTCACCAAGCACTCACCACGCAGACGTCTGTCATGGAGTCCTTTAACAGCAGCCCCGTCAACCCTCTGGTCATGACATTTGAAATCCTGCAGGTCAAATCCAGTTTTCTCCAAGCAGGACCTGTCAGCAGATCCCTCCTCAAGGAATTGACTCTGTCAAAGGCAGAAATAGGAACCACCCTTGCAGGATGGAGAGATGATGGGGGAATTATGGCTTCCTTCAGGGAAGCAGCTGTGTGTTGGGGCTGATGGATGGCACATCCTCATCCCAGCCAAGGCCAGCATGGCACAGGGGCCCAGACCTCTCAGTGAGCCCTCACTCTGACCCAGGGACAAGCAGTGCCTCCCATGGCCTGGCACAGTGGCCCTAACTGACCACCGCTGCTTCCTGAAGTTGGCGTGGGCTCAAACGCTATACATATATGGAATAACTTTGGGAACCAACAGGGGCTATACAGACTAGTATTTTCCAATCCACGAGCACGTTTTTTCCACTAATATGTCACTGAGGTAAATGGAAGCAAACCCAAGACCCTGGAAAATAGTCTAACAACACAGTCTAAGTGCTTCAAAGTCATTGGCCAGCTGGGTCCACCATCACACTCAAGCAAGTGACAAATGGCCAGCTGGTTGCCAACTTTACACAGCCGACTTGCCAGAGAAGAGCCCATGAGTAAGTGTCACTCACAGGGACAGCCAAGCCAAAACCGAGGCGATCTTGTTCGGTCAAGAGTGTGGTGGGTCACGGACTTCCCTGGTGGTGTACTGGTCAAGAATCCACCTGCCAATGCAGGGGACATGGGTTTGAGCCCTGGTCTGGGAAGATCCCACATGCCACGGAGCAACTAAGCCCGCGAGCCACAAATACTGAGCCCGTGTGCCACAACTACTGAAGCCCACACACCTAGAGCCCATGCTCCGCAACAAGAGAAGCCACCGCAGTGAGAAGCCCACGCACGGCCATGAAGAGTAGCCCCCGCTCGCAACTAGAGAAAGCCCACGCGCAGCAATGAAGACCCAACAAAACCAAAAATAAATAAATAAATGAATAAATTTATTTTTTTTAAAAAAGTGTGTGGTGGGTCACACCTGGGAGAAGAAATGACCATGCCGCAATGCCGTTCTGGAGAGCAGACAGCATTCAGGTGGCACCCAGTGAGAGAGCTGAGGGGGTTAACTGGCGCGGGAGTGAACCCCATTCAAAGACACACACACACCAAGAGGAAAAGGCGACGAGTGGCACAGACTGAGAAGACAGTACAAGTGGCTAAAATATATGAGATGCCACCAAGAAAACACAAATGAGAGATACCATTTTTGCCCAGCACTACCACAAAATTAGGAAGAATAAGACAATCTGGTATGCAAAAAGAAGTGGGAAACATCCTGGGACACGCTCGCAGAGGTGGCACGAAAGGTCAGCTGCTGGGGGTAGTGGGGAAGAAGGCACAACCCACAGGACAGCAGATCCTGGCCCTCCCTCGAGTCTGTGGTCGGGCTGGCCAAGTATCTTGAGCCAGGTGCCAGTTGCTCACGGGAGCAGATGAGGCTGCACTGGAGTCACGGGGCAGGACCTGAAGGGCCTCAGCATTCAGCAGGGTGTGCTCTGTGGGAGTGAGGCACTTCCCACTGGTCTGTCTGACACACCTGGCTGGTGCCTAAGAGCTGGCTGCACCATGTAAGAGCAAAACAAAGTCAGAAACCACTGATTCAGAAAGAGAAGGCCCAATCAAATTCACAGGCTCACAGCAAAGGCCTGGTGTGTGCCAGGCCCTCTCATGCACACTCCGTCCTTGGGGAGCATTCTGGACTCCAGGAGTGTGCTTCTTGGTGGGCAGGAAGGAGGGGAGGCAGCAAGAGCACAGACACTAAAAAGGAGACCTTTTCTCTTTTTGGCCGTGCTGCACAGCTTGTGGGATCTTATTTCCCCGACCAGGGATCAAACCCGGATCCTAGGCAGTGAGAGCGAGGAGTCCTAACCACTGGACTGCCAGGGAATTCCCGAGGAGACTTTCAAAGAAAGGCCTTTGGCTGTCAAGGAGAGAATGCTGGGGCCTGGGCAGCGGGGTCCCCGGGAGCCCTGTGAATCGCACATCGCCGCCCACAGGTGGCCCCCAGCAGCAGTGAGTGGCAACACCACCCAGCTGTTACAAATGAGGGGTTTGTAACAGGTGGCAGAAACTCCACGTTAGGCCACCAAATGTCCCAGAGCTCTGTAGGACAGGAGTGGCCCCTATCACTGTGGCTGGATATCCCGTTAAGGACCCACACTCCCAGCCAGAGATGAATGAGGGCTCCAGGAAAGCAGTGGACCCAGAGAAGAGACACGGCGACCCTGGGGTGACGGCACAAGAACACACGGCAGGCCCCGTGTCTGTGGGTGCAGGGAGGCTTCCGGGAGCCATGACCACAGAGCTATCTATGCTGACAGAGTGCTTTCCGTGAGTCGTGGGTGTGACAGGAGTGAGTCAGGAGGGGACAGAGGGCATCCCAGGTGAGGGTGGAAAGGGGCACAGACCCCTAGGGAGGGAGGGGTGCAGGCCTGCACCAACTGCTTCAGGTGGAGGCACTGGCGACAGCGGTGCTGTAGACTGCTGGGGCAGCCAGAACCCAGGGTGAGCTGGCCTTTGTCAGTTCTGCAAATGGGAACCACACCACCACAGAAAACCCTCCAACCAGCCAAATTAGGAGGAAACCTTTAGAGTCAAAAGGTCAAATATCCCCACCAAGGACATTCCAGGACCCCAAACAGCGGCTTTTTGGGATTCCCAAACCCTATCCATGAAGGAAGACAAACAGCAGCGACACCAGCGGCCGCATGCCAGATCTCCAGGACAGAGAAGCAGGAACGTGCGCGTGCAGCGTGGTCAGGGTTCTGCGAGGAAACTCAATGACCTTCCTCTTTCTTTTTGCCTCTGAGCCAACTTAGGGAAGAAGTTCTGGGCCCATAAATGCAGAATCCAAAAGCCCCTACCTGAGGAAAGCATTCAGCAGCCTAGCAAGGTTTGCCAATGCCCAGGAAGGAGCCTGGTCACTGGTAACAATACGGGGCTCCAAGCAAATGCCCCAATGCTGCCATCTGGGGTGCCCCCAACCCAGGCAGGCTGTGGAGGCTTGGAAAGCCCTGGGAGTGGGAGGACACTGCCCAGGATGAGGCCAGAATCTCACCAAGGGTTCCTGGGCAGAGCTGGGGCCCAACCCCCATGGCATGGGCCACCCAGTAGGACTCCCCGGCCCCCACCAGAGTCACCCCTGTCACCTGCTTTATAAAGTGGCATTTTAAGCTGGTTTTACTTGGTAAAAAGGGAACCGCTCAAAAAGAAAAACGTTAAAATTAGCATAACACACCAGGCCCAGACCCGCCGCAGAGGAGGTGTTGTGAACCGCTGGCCCTCTGGCGGCACTGTCCACCCTGGGGCCTGCGCTGCTGCCCCAAGCAACTCCAGAGGGGATTTCATGGTGCTCTGGGAGGGAATACCACCACCCTGGGGTGAGAACTGGGATAAAGCTGGTGAGAAGGAGGTGGCAGAGCTTTTATATTTGGAAAAGGAATCTGGCAGAGCTGGAGAATGAGGAAGGGAGAGAATCAGACACATGTGACTGAGGAGAGTCCCCCCACTGAGAACAGTCACGGCCTCCAGGGCAGGGGTCTGCTGAGGGAGCTGAGCTGACGGCATCCTGAATCTGGAGCAGGATGCTGGCCCTTGGAGTGACAGAACAGACTGGGCAGAGTGAGCTGGACAAGGCAATCACATGGGGCCTGCACCCCTCCTGGACACGGTCCCACCACATGTTCATATGGTATGGTTCACCCTGCTGCTACAGAGTGCCGATGTGGCTCCAGACGCTGGGACAGGAGCACTCACACCTCAGGGGACACGCTGAGTGCCGGGGACACACGGAGGAGCCCTCTGAGCAGAGACTACAAAGGTGGGGGAGGGAGAGGCCCATAGAGACCTAGAGGAAAAGTGTTTGAGGCACAGGCACACACGCTGTTTCCTGAAGCTTGTGCCCTGCGGTGCCGTGTGCTGGCCACCCTCCTCAGCACTCTGACCTGTTTGTCTGATCTCGGCACTCTTGGGAGAGGGCCGGGCTTCTTCCTCAGCACAGCCTCCCGGGCCTCCTGGGGTGTAGGCTCTTCCCCACCACCGGCTCTGGCCCCAGGAATTCCACTTTTCCAACAAGTTCCAGCAAATGTTCCGTCTCCAGCAAGCCCTCCTGACCTGTAGGTGGAATTAGAGCCCACGGGACTGTCGCTCTTCACTCAGGACCCACAACGCTCGGCACAGGGCCGGGACTGTCGCTCTTCACTCAGGACCCACAACGCTCGGCACAGGGCCAGGCACTCCAAAACTGGGATGTCACACCTGGGGCCTGGCTGCAGCCCGGCCTGTCCACCTAAGGACAGGTGCTCTGGGCCAGATGCCTGGGGCTGACCAGGACCCCACATGTAGCATCCCACTTGCTTACTCCCTGTGGCCAGGGCCTCGCTTGGGCCTCAGAGCCTGGGGAGGACTCACCAGGTAGCTGCAGTGTGCAGAGGACACACACACACTATTTCATTTCAGGCCCTGGGCAACGGGTGTTTGGCCACCATGCAGACAGGCTGGGGCGGTGCAGGGGACTGAAGAGAGGCAGGAGGCCAGCCACCCTGTTGAGGGATCTGCCCGCGTGGGCTGACTGACGCCACTCCTGTTCTGTTTTTCAAATGCAGTCCTGTGACTCTCTGAGTTACCAAAATCTCAATGCACATCCTGAGTGAAAATGATGACGTGGGGATCACTGTTCTAAATTTCCCCTAAATTTTCCGCAGACTTCAGGATTCCTCCTGGACGCCTATGTGAAACTGCTGTGCACATCTGATTTCAGTCACGTTCATCTATGACTGGGCCAGAAGGGGAAGCAACTACAGGCTCCAGAATCCTCAATCCCAGCACCCGGTTTTCAAAGCAACAATGCTCTTCCGTCCAGAATTGGCCAGCTTGCAGAGCTCAGACCCCACCTGCCAGGCCTAAGGCCAGCTTGGTACCACCCACAAGGTTAATCAATGGCTTAATAAGTAACAACAAAGAACACAAGACCCAACTTTAAACAAACAGAGCTCCCCAGCCTGCATCCTGCCTAAGGCCCGGCAGCGTGTGTGCATGAACTGT